AGATGATTAGCGTACCGTAATGGAATAATATCCTAGCATACATAAGTTAAATGTGCATCCAAGTAATTCTACCAGACATATCTGATGCATAAGGTCTTCGATTCTCCCTATGAATCTAAAATCAAAACTTAATACAATCAGTAAAAAAACTTTGGTAAATCTCAAAAAATATTTTGTTAAATGTTTATAAGTTGACATGTATTATATAATGTGATAAAATTTGAACAAATTTTATAATAAAAAATTTTATTCAAAAGAAGGAATATTACTAGTCTGCAAATTAAAAGAATATCGTATGAGATACAAAATTAGATAAACATTTATGAAGAGTATTATTAAATATTACATTGAGTAGCGGTTAACTTTTTGATACAAATTTTTTTACGTAGAAAACATGTTTATACATGTACGTAGATTTTTTAAATTATATTTTATTATCTAGAGAATTCAAATAAATCTAATACTACCTTAGGACACGTAGATGGTGATCCACAATATTGGCCAGCCTCCTCTGGATTGGTTCATTTTTTTCCGCATCTTCACCTTCGACGAACTTGCCCAGACGTAAGATCAAAATATCGAGTTGACCACAAGCGTGTATAGCGAAAACCGCAGCTAAACTACAAGCGCCGACAGTGGTGGAGGTCACTATGAAACCCGACAGCATCTGTGTTATAATAACAATCTCATTTGCCGGGCTGTATCTGGTATCTATTAATTTGTTGTAAAAGGCACAAGGTAGTTGGAGCATCGAGACGCTCTGGTTGTCGTCGATCGACACCATCACTGTCGTCATACCGGATACGATGTTGTAGGAAATCACGCCGCTGTGCATGCATATTGCGCAGAAACCCGCCACGAATCGGCCCAGCTTCGCATTTCTCGCCATAATCTCGCGATCCCGCGACTGCTTCATAATCCGCCAATCCATTTCCATGTGTTGCATGCACTGACGTATATCAGCGCTGCGCAGCAATAGAGAGCTATAATTCAATCCGCCCATGAACCAATGGCTCAGCGGACCGATTGCTCTTAGCTTTAGTTCCACATCTTTCTCTTCAAAAAAGACATTTAATGCGCACGGTATCACGGTGAAGGCTACCAAGATGTAGCAGATGAATATCAAAATTCGAGACACAGCTTTCTCACTGCTAGAAATCGTTGGTTCTTGCGGCCACGCGCCTATTGGCTTCAAAAACCATCGATTCAGCTGAACACTGTGATCGTGAAGATCTTTAGTCACCGATCGACACATGATAGCAATGTGACGACACGAGAGCTACTGACTAGGAGCAATACGACGGCACGACAGCTACTAATCGACTGTTAAAGACTGGCTTCCTAGTCACTGTGGCGTCTGCGCGAGAGAAGAAGAATCCACCACAAATGTTTTGATCGATTGACCAGTGTCATCGGACTCGTCGCTTGAATAACGTCATTGCAAATGTTTCTATACGTTGGCTCGGCGAATCAAACAAAATCAAAGTGCTGTGTATCGATCATTTTTCATACCTGACGTACAATGCAATTTTTTAATTGATACATCACGAGCGGAAATACGTGCGAGTGAGAAAGCATTTCATGCTGATCGATAGTGCAACTTGTTGCTTTGTTCGTCCACGGCGTCGCTTTCTAATGCATTCACAAAGTAATGTCGTATTAAAAGGAAAATCATAAAAAGGAAGAGAGCACAAAATAGCAATTTTAATATTTTATGAACTATGAAATGCATGTAGCGAGTGAGTATTTCTGTGTATTTATATTTCGTATGTTCTTTATACATACATACTTTAATTCTTTATATATACTAAAATAATTTCGACGATTTCACAAAGACTATATTATTATTGATAGGAAAAGTGGCATAACTCAATGCTTCAAAATAGTCTCCTATGGCATATCTATTTAATTGACGCCTATTTAATATTTTCACATAATATGTTACATTACGGTACGAAGTATATTTAGATATGCTGCAGAAGTTTTAATTACCTAAAAAAAAAACAACAAATAAAATAATATAAATTTTATGAGAGATTTTTTTCAATATAATCTTCTTTTTTGAAGCTTTGTGACGTTAAATATTTTTTATAAAACAAAAAATTTCTAAACATTTATAATACGTGCAAAAACACGATGAAGGATAGATATTGAAGATAACAAAACTTCATTTTTTTATCATAAAAATGTTTGGTGTTGCAGAAATCTATACTTACATCGCCAAATGTCATTAACGAGAGATGAACCAATTTTCCAGCAGTAATTTTAATTATAACACGGGATCTCGATATTATCAGCACCATACCGAGGGCAGTTTTATGAGGTAAATAGTACCAGTTGGTAAAGTAAGCCATTTCGCCAACTTTCCTACACTGCAGTCATTTTATACTAAATACAACGAGAATATTTTTGTGCAGCATAATGAATCAGTAATAATTTAAATATTTTTACTATATTCCATAACACATAAGTTTTGTGGTTCTCTTGCACGCGTTACCTGCTCTGTGATTATTTCACCGATATAACAAAATATAAAGATATTGAAAGATAGAGATACGAAAAGAATACCATATGTTGTTATAGTCTTCGTGTTTCTTTCATCCCATTCCTGAAATTATAAAACAAAGTATCATAAAAAGAAACACAAATATTTTTCTAAAAAAAGAGTACGTTCTTTCAAAAGGTACATGTATTTGTATTAAAAAAGATGTTTATTAGTTATATCTTTATCATACCTTAATCGAACAGTAACCTAGCAAGCACAAATTCAAAGTGCATCCAACTAATTGCACCATGCATATTTGATTCATGATTTTTTCAAAGCGTGATATAAAACTAAAAATACCATAATTCTCTCAAATTTTATGATTTATTTATATTTGATATTGTAATTGTTACAAATGCTTTACTATAACTGGATTAGCGATATCTTACTTTAGCACACGTAGATGATGCTCGACTATGTTTGCCAATTTATTCTCAGCGGTTCGTTTTTCCTCGTCTGTCAATTCATTCAACCATGTATAGAGCACGGCGAATTGGCCGCACACATGCATTGCGAAAACCCCAGCAAGACTGCAAGCACTTACCGTGACAGAATTAGCTATGAAACCTGACAGGAATTGTATCATTAACACGATCTCGTTCGTCGGATTGTGGCTGGTATCCAGTAGCTTGCTGTAAAACGGACAAGGCAATCGTCGCGCCGAGACAGTCTCATTGCCGACCACGATGATTATCGGCGTTAAACTGTTCACTACACTGTACGAGAACACACCGCAGTGCATAAAAACGGCGCAAAATGTGGCCATAGATCGGCCGAATTTAGCGTATCTTAGCATCGCTCCGCGATCCAAATTTCTGCGCACCATGCACCAATCGTTCTTCATGTGCTGGATGCAGCAACGAATGTCTTTGCCGCGCCACAGCAGAGAACTGTAATTTAATGAGCTCATAATCCAGTGGCTTACGGGACCTACTAATCTCATCTTGGTATCGAGATCCTGTTCCTCAAGATAGAAGTACATCATGCTAGGAATAACCGTAAAAGCTATGAGGGCGTAGCATATTATCTGGATAATTCTCGAAAGGAGTCTCTCGCTAATTGCAGTAACACGCGATTCTGGCCAGGCGCCGATTGGTTTTAAAAACCAACGATTCAACTGAAGACTATAATCGTAATGTTCATTACGGTGATGCGAAACCAATGTTGGTTTATCAGATGCGATCGTCATGGTCGTGCTTTGAAAGCGCGCAAAATACTGAACATTTTCTCCGTATTATCCCGTTTCTCAGTAAAAGTCAATATTACGATTGCGCAGGTCTTCATTGAGAGTTGCGTGCAAGAGGCCATTGTGCTAATCGATAACCACTACTTGTTGCACCGTCAGTTGCAAATAAGGATATGTAGATAGTATGCAAACTGTGACGTGTGCAGTACACATTTTGCTTTGTAAGTGAGCGTATAGAATCATGAATTACTTAACTTGCGTTGTATTTGTAAAATTCATAAAATTAATTTTTTCTATCGCACACTTTTTAAATACTAACTAAAGATCCATAAAATACGCAAATGAAAAGATCGGTAAGTTGTAATATTACAAAAATCTACTATTAAAATGCATACCTTTTATCAGTGTAAAATATAAAAAAGCCCACATCGGCTGTTCGGATGCACAGAAAACTCTTTACTTTCGTATGAATGTAACAAAACGAATAAAACGTTTCGACCCTTCAATTCGGATCCTTATCGATATAAAATATAAATCGAAATTACATAAGTAACGCAAATTCCAAGATGGTGCTTTCCGATAATTTAGCTCGTTCTACTTTATCTAAATGCCAAATTAGCTATGTAATGAATAGCCAAATGACTATCAAAAATATTAACTTATACAATAATAGTATAAATATAATAGTATAAAAACTTAAATAAAGTAAAAACCGAAGTCATATACATTGCGTCAATAAATAGAATCACATCGCTCATCAGATTATCTGATTTGCTATATAGTCATTCAAAAGAAAAACGAAAAACGAAAAATTAGAGAATTATTAAAATAATTTGTCTGAATTTTTTAATTTTATTAACTTACATGTAAGCGTTTCTCGCGACTCGACGTAAAGGTCTTGTAGTGTTGACAGTCAGAGATGAAATGAGAGTAAAAATAACAAAGTCATGTAGCATTGAAATAAAAATAAAAATAAGAACAAAGGGGAGAAATCTCTCTCACACACACAACGTCACGATTCCATAAACAGATTCATATACTATAGTGAGTCTAAAGAGTCCGTCTCATTCTGTAAATTCAAACTCTATTTCTGTTGCTTAATATGAATAATTTCCGAAATCAGTCTTTTATTAAGCACCCTTTCCTCATCTAATATCATGATGTATTCCCAATCAAAATCATGCTATTGACTAATTCTGTGTTCTGTTATTACGGAATGCTGTGTCGTGTCCCAATTTATGTAATTTCTACTTTCATTTATACACGTCTTCAAACATCTACCTGTTTATATAACCACTCTACACCCACTATAATCTCATTCACGGGACAGAATCTCGTATCGATAAACTTGGTATACGTTGGGCAGGGCATCGAGACAGTTTCATTGCCCACGATGACGATAGTGGTTGACAGCGATTTGGCTATAGCGAATAGGAATGTGCCGCTTTGCATGAACACTGCGCAGAATCCGGAGATGAAGCGACTGATCTTGACCTGTCGTATCATTACCTGACGATCCTCGAAGTAGCGAAGAGGAATGTGCCGCTTTGCATAAACACCGCGCAGAATCCGGAGATGAAGCGACTGATCTTGGCCTGTCGTATCATTACCTGACAATCCTCGATTTTCCGAACGTACCGCCCGCGCCAGTCCGTCTCCATATGCAACAAGCACTAGCGAATATCATCGTAAGGAGTAAACAGTAATTAATCATATCCATCATCCAGTGGCTTGGCGGACCTGTGGTGTTCAATTTAATCTTGGAATCTTTCTCTTCTAGTAACACGTATAACAAATATGGCACCATGATGATCGCTATTAAAGACGCGCAAGTTAAAATGTGTATATGCGAAAAGAGTCTCTTCACTTTTGTCGCCGTGCTTATTTGCGGCCAAGCACCGATTGGTATCAGAAACCAACGAGTCAGTTGAAGACTGTAATCATTATCGTCTTTATAGGAGAACTTGGTGCCCCTTGTTACATGATTGGAATGTGTTACGATCATTTTGCGGAAGCCACACGTGCACTGACTGCGACAGACGGTGCACCGGCTGGAGTTACATTCTATCTAATGTCTGCGTGAATCTTTAGCTGGAGCGGTTTGGTGAACGGATAAGTAGTGATGTACTTTGTGAGAGACGCGTGCATGGCTGCTCGATAATTGTTCGCGGAAGTGCTGCGTTGATTTTTGGCGCTTACAATGTTTCAGCGATATGACAATATTATATTTAAAAAATAAATATGCAGAATGTTACTTCAAATTGCGTATTGTGGTTTCACCTGCATTGTAGAAGAAACGTATCATCGTGATGTTATATGAGTCTACTATAAATGTAACTTTATTTGTAAATGAATTAATAATTAAATATATTTTTTAATATATAAATTTATAATTTAAGTGTCTTTATTTAAAAATACTATACAAGTAAACAAATATTGAAATTCTTCTAGATCACACGCAGATTCACGTTGTAACAGTTCGTAACATATTTAGGTAAACGAGAGACGTTTTGATAACCTAAAATGACAAAGGTCTAAAAAATTTAAAGAGAAGTCTATTGAAATAAAGATACTCACGTCACTAAAAGTCACGAGGGAAAGCTGAACCATTTTTCCAGCAGTTATTTTGATTACGACACTAGATCTTGATATAATTAAGATCAAACTCATGGCTGTTTTATGAGGTAAATGATACCAGTCGGTCATGTATGCTATTTCGCCAACTTTTTTACACTAATAAACATTGCACCGTTAAATATGCAAATGTATTAACTTGTTAATTTTGCGCCAGTAATATCGTCAGTTTTTTTACCTGTTGCGTTAAAATTTCACCTATGTAGCAAAATATAAAAATATTAAAACTCATGGATATATATACGATAATGTACGCCACTATGCCCTTTCTGTCAATTTTATTCCACCACTGAAAGAATCATAATGTATAAAATATACATTTTTTGAGATATAAATTTTTCAGACGTTAGCCTTATTAATATTAAGAAAAGTCTTATTAAATTAATTTCAACTACCTTTCTACTATATTCACCTTTTAAGATGATTAGCGTACCGTAATGGAGTAATATCCAAGCATACATAAGTTAAATGTGCATCCAACTAATTCTACCAGACATATCTGATGCATAACGTCTTCGATGCTCCCTATAAATCTAAATTCAAAATTTAATACAATCAGTAAAAAAACTTTGATAAATCTCAAAAAATATTTTGTTAAATGTTTATAAATTGACATGTATTATATAATATGATAAAATTTGAACAAATTTTATAATAAAAAATTTTATTCAAAAGAAGGAATATTACTAGTATGCAAACTAAATGAAAATCGTATGAGATACAGAATTATGATATAACCATTTATGAAGAATTATTAAATATTAAATTGAGTAGAGGTTGACTTTTTGAGATAGATTTTTTTACATAGAAAACATGTTTATATATGTACAAATATATACATATACATAGATTTTTTAAATTATATTTTATTATCTAGTATTCAAATAAATCTATAAGTACTACCTTAGAACACGTAGATGGTGATCCACAATATTGGCCAGCCTCCTCTGGACCGGTTCATTTTTTTCCGCATCTTCACCTTCGACGAGCTTACCTAGACGTAAGATCAAAATATCGAGTTGACCACACGCGTGTATAGCGAAAACCGCAGCTAAACTGCAAGCGCCGACAGTGGTGGAGTTCACTATGAAACCCGACAGCATCTGTGTTATAAGAACAATCTCATTTGCCGGGCTGTATCTGGTATCTATTAATTTGTTGTAAAAGGCACAAGGTAATTGGAGCATCGAGACGCTCTGGTTGTCGTCGATCGACACCATCACTGTCGTCATACCGGATACGATGTTGTAGAAACACACGCCGCCGTGCATGCATATTGCGCAGAAACTCGCCACGAATCGGCCCAACTTCGCGTTTCTCGCCATAATCTCGCGATCTCGGGATTGCTTCATAATCCGCCAATCCATTTCCATGTGTTGCATGCACTGACGTATGTCAGCGCTGCGCAGCAATAAAGAACAATAATTCAATCCGCCCATGAACCAGTGGCTCAGTGGACCTGCTGCTCTTAGTTTTAGTTCGACATCTTTCTCTTCAAAAAAGATATTTAATGCGCACGGTATCACGGTGAAGGCTATCAAGAAGTAGCATATGAATATCAAAATTCGAGACACAGCTTTCTCACTGCTAGAAGTCGTGGGTTCTTGCGGCCACGCGCCTATTGGCTTTAAAAACCACCGATTCAGCTGCACACTGTGATCGTGAAGATCTTTAGTTACTGACCGACACATAATGGCAATGTGACGGGACGACAGCTACTGACTAGAAGCAATACGACGGCACGACAGCTACTAATCGACTGTTAAAGACTGGCTTCCTAGTCGCTGTAGCGTCTGCGCGAGGGAAGAAGAATCCACCACAAATGTTTTGATCGATTGACCAGTGTCATCGGACTCGTCGCTTGAATAACGTCATTGCAAATGTTTCTATACGTTGATTCGGCGAATCGAACAAAATCAAACAAAGTGCTCTGTATCGATCATTTTTCATACGTGACGTACAATGCAATTTTTTAATTGATTCATCTCGGGCGGAAATACGTTGCGAGTGAGAAAGCATTTCATGCTGATCGATAGCGCAACTTGTTGCTTTGTTCGTCTCCGGCGCCGCTTTCTGATGCATTCACAAAGTATATTGTATTAAAAGAAAAATCATAAAAAGGAAGTAAGCACAAAATAGCAATTTTAATAGTTTGTGAACTTTGAAATGCATTAGCGAGTGAGTATTTCTATGTATTTATATTTCGTATATTCTTTATACATACATACTTTAATTCTTTATATACTATGATAATTTCGACGATTTCGTAACTATGTTATTATTGAAATGAAAAGTATCATTACTTAAAGCTTCGAAATAGTCTCCTATAGCATATCTATTTAATTGACGCCTATTTAGTATTTTCACATTATGTTATATTACGGTACGAAGTATATTTGGATATGTTGCAGAAGTTTTTAATTACCTAGAAAAAGGAAGAACAAATAAAATAAAATAAATTTTATGAGAGATATTTTTCAATATAATCGTTTTTTTGAAGCTTTGTAACGTTAAATTTTTTTTATAAAACTTAAAATTTCTGAACATTTATAGTACGTGCTATGCAAAAACGCGATGAAGGATAGGTATTGAAGATAACAAAATCTCATTTTTTATCATAAAAATGTTTAGTGTTGCAGTTTATATCGCCAAATGTCATTAAGGAGAGATGAATCAATTTTCTAGTAGTAATTTGAATTATAACACGGGATCTCGATATTATCAGCACCATACCGAGGACAGTTGTATGAGATAAATAGTATCAGTTGGTAAAGTAAGCCATTTCGCCAACTTTCCTACACTGCAGTAATTTTATACTAAATACAACGAGAATATTTTTGTGCAGAATAATGAATCAGTAATATTTTAAATGTTTTTACTATATACCAAAACACATAAGCAGTTTTGTGGTTCACTTGCACGCGTTACCTGCTCTGTGATTATTTCATTGATATAACAAAATATAAAGATATTGAAAGATAGAGATACGAATAGAATAACATATGTTGTTATAATGACCCTACTTCACTACTTCATATCTCCGGTTCTGTTAATCGCAAAGAGCTCTTTATACTCGCATTTTTTTCGTCATAAAGTCTACTTCAAGCAATGTGGTATGTATTTTCCTCGTCCGAGACGTCGATAACGTTTGCGGAGAGAGGTAAAATATAAAAAATGGGCATTTTCTAGCGATATTTCACCTTTTTTACTGAAACTTTGGACAACTGTATCTTCGAAATTATTTGTCGCACAGAGCTCCACTTGGTCTCAAATTATTCGTACGAAAATAGAGAAAAAAAAACTATTAAACGAGTTTTATTAATTTCTGCATAGTTTCGTAGATATAGCATAAAAAGTGAAAAATCGTACCATTTTTAGCTTATATTACCATCTTCCGCTCTGAAATCGTGGACGCAAAATGAAACTTACATTATTTACGCCTAAGTAAAGCATTTAAATCAATAAACAGCCTGTTGGCAATTATTTCCTTTTTAGTAAGATTTTTTGGCTCTAGTAACTGGCTTACGTGTAGAGCACGGCGAATTGGCCGTACACATGCATTGCGAATCCCTAGCAAGACTGCAAGCACTTGCCGTGACAGAATTAGCTATGAAACCTGACAGGAATTATATCAATAGCATGATCTCATTCATCTGATCGTGGCTGGTATTCTGTAGCTTGCTGTAAAACGGCAAGGCAATCGTCGCACCGAGACAGTGTCATTGCCGACCACGATGATTATTGGCGTTAATCTGTTCACTACACTGTACGAAAACCCACCGCAGTGCATAAAAACGGAGCAAAATCAGGCTATATATCAGCTGAATTTAGCGTATCTTAGCATCGCTCCGCGATCCACATTTCTGCGCACCATGCACCAATCGTTCTCCATATGCTGGATGCAGTAACGTATATCTTTGCCGCGCCACAGCAGAGAACTATAATTTATACGCTCATAATCCAGTGGCTTACGGGACTTACTAATCTCATCTTGGTTTCGAGATCTTGTTTCTTAAGATAGAAGTACATCATGCTAGAAATAACCGTAAAAACGGTATAACCGTAAGGCGTAGCATATTATCTGGATAATTCTCGAAAGGAGTTTCTCGCTAAATGTGGTAACACGCGATTCTGGGCAGGTGCCGATTGGTTTTAGAAACCAACGATTCTGAATGACGTCTTTTCTTTCTGTTTTTTTTTCAACCAATTCTTCGAGTCGCATCGTTATCGAGCTGCGTGCGTGTGTCACGAATAATGCGACCAAACCACACGCATCAACTGTGGTGTTGTTCACGATGATGGACGAAAGGCACTGAAGCGTAAACTGTAGGAGCTTATATACTGGGTTTAAATTTGGTGTCCACGATCATATTAAAATGGAAATAATAAATGCCCAATTGCGACCGTTTCATTGCCGATTGCCATATATCGGTGATATTTTCCTTGCCACGTTTAACAAGAAACCTTGCCACCTTGCATGATGAATGCTTAAAGGCTTGCTATAATACGTCTTTCTCTAATGTGTTTCATCGTGTCTTAATGCTCTCTCCTCGCGATCTCTTCCATTCGCCAATCAATTTCCATATGTTCAGTAAAGGGGGAGTCTCCATAAGGGCCGATTGCGGCACCTTCCAGATTTTGTTCAAACACTTGAAAATCTATTTCTTGAGGTCAATTATATTCAATTAAAGTAATTTTAGCTTAAACGGAGCGATGGTGCCGTCATAGGAGTCTCTATAAGGTCGGTTTTCGGCCTATTTCAATTTCATTTTAAATTCTCGGTAACGTTTTATTATTGTAAAAATTATCGAAATCAGGTGATTATAGCTCAAACGGACGTATTTGACACCTGTTATCTTGTAACTAGTCAGCCCTACATTTACCATCAACACTCTTATAGTTTTAATCTTTTCGGCGTATTTTATAGACATGCGTATTATCTGGGAAGCTTCTTTACCCGTACTTAGCATTACCGTACTTAGCAGAATCAATGACGTGGACGTGTCAGATTTCTGTTACTTTTTACGGTACTTAATTCACATGAGTTCCCTCACCTCTCACGTTTAGGGTGCTTGATTCTTATAAGTCCTCTCGTCTGTCACGTCGGGATGCTTGATTCACGTGAGTCCCCCCGCCTCTCACATCGGGATGCTTCATTCACGTGAGTCCCTTCCTCATTGATCCTGGGTAATGCTAAGTACGGGTAGAGAAGCTTCCCAGATAATACGTATGTCTATCAAATACGCCGAAAAAATTAAAACCATAAGAGTGTTAATGGGCAAATGTAGGGCTGACTAGTTACAAGATAACAGGTGTCACATACGTCCGTTTAAGCTAAAATCATCTGATTTCAATAATTCTTACAATAATAAAACGTTCTCGATTATTTAAAATGAAATTGAAATAGGCCGAAAACCGGCCTTATAAAGACTCCTATGGCAACACCATCATTCCATTTAAGCTAAAATCACTTTAATTGAATATAATTGACCTCTAGAAATAGATTTTTATGTATTTGAAAAAATCTGGAGGGTGCCAAAATCGGCCCTTATGGAGACTCCTCCTTTACGTATTTGACCTTTAAACACAAATACGAGTAATAATTTACATCACCCTTAAGGGGGGAAAGTCAAGTAAATAAATAGCCAAAAATTCATTAATTTTTTTGAATTTATTGTGAGGTATGTATTGAATCAATCTTTTTGAAACTTTTAGTATATTTTATTATTTAATTGTAGATTTGAAAAATTTTTGTAATATATTTAAATATTAATGTTATAAGGATGTATAACCATTAAAAAAAACTGCTTCGCACTGGACTGGAATGTGGGGACTGCTGTTCTGAAATCAAAAATTCAAATTAATGAATATACGCTCAACATGAACTTATTTTTAAGTTAAAAAAGACAAAAATGAAAAAATAGTGACATTAAAAAAATAAGGTGTATTTTAAGACAAATAGTACCTATACTAAAATACAATTGTTTATTTCAAAAACATTTATATAAAAACAGGCTCATGCTGTGAAAATGTTATAGACAGAATATTTGTACGCGAGGAGAAGTTCGTTGTTTAAAAATTGTTTGAATTACATTCCACATCGCTCGAAAATGTCGTTTCTAGAAAAACGCTTTTAAATTTTTCGATACAGAAAAATGACATTTTTTGAAAACTTCCTATTTTATGCAAATCTGCAAAGCCAAGTCCATACATCAATCCTTCTTCTTCCTAAAAAATGTAGCAATTAAGTCGCCTCTCACTCGACCAAATGACAAAGCTATTGTGAACAGGTTAGTTTACAAAGGAACTGACAGGAAGGGCGATGCGTTTATACCTGCAGGTACCGCTCGGCACAGCGCGCCACCGCCACTAATAGCTGTAGCTACCTTAAATAGTTTTACGGTTTTGACATTTTGTTCTATATATTACAAACTATTAATTTAAGAAAAAAAATTTTAATTTTTTCATCCTTCTACATGACTCTCCCCATTTAAGCCAGTGATTTGTGGGTTCCACGGCCTACAGTTATAAAAGGACATCCTTCTCTTTAAGAAAAATGTAACGTATAGAGGGTGTCACAATGAGAGTTATTAAGGAGTGACTCGTTAATTTCAGAGTTTTCGATAAAATCTTCTCGATTATCAAGCTTTAAACATCTATCGGTTTTAAGATCAATTTAGTTGAAAAGACTATAAATTATTATTTCACCTGTGAATGTGTATTTTGAACGGGTACAGAAGGAACCCATTATACTTTATCTGCGGTGAGCGCGTCAATCACTAGTCTTTACCACTGCCTATGGCAAGTCAAGTAGTTACGACAGCACGTGTGTGAACATATGACTTATTCCTGACAGAAAGAACGTAGCTGTCTCGGCTGACTATGCACAATCGATATTTACAGTATAACTTGTTGCATATAAAGTTCAATATAATGTGTAATAAAGATAGAAAATGATTGAATAAGTAGTGTCAGTTATAAGTCACGTAATTTGAAAACATGTTGAATTTTTTATCTGTGAAATATAGTTCCTTACATTAGAAAATATACCTTCCATTCTGCATACTGGCACATCGTATGCTTTACTTGACTTTTTGCTTTAAATATCTCTACTAAAAACTTTATTTTCTGATATACTCTTGAGACAAAATATAAGTAAAATACAAATAATTATACGCTTCAAATTAAGATATTAATAGAAAATTAATATTAAGATTATTAATAGGATATTAAAAATAAAAAAAAGAAAATAAGAACAATTTTGTTAAACGAACTTTAGCTAACATTTATGTTTATTATAAAGATATAAAATATGTAAAATACATTATATATTTTGTATGTGGGAAATAATTTATCAATATTTCAAATTATTTTTCATTTTAATGAATTTATTGTTTTGTTGTAATTATTGTTTTTTTCTAAATTATATATTGCTAATTCGATATTATTATTCATTTTGCAACCAATACAATTTATATCAATCATCAATATTATAAATTAATACCATGTCAAATTTTTAAGTAGTTAGTGTACGTAACATATTTAAATAGGCAACTGATGTCTTCATCACCTGTTTAATAAACGTTTATGAGTCAAACAATTAAAAATTTATTCTCTATAAAACTTACAATTAATTTATATAAATACTTACATCAGCGAAACTGCTCATAGATAACTCAATGATATGCCCAGCAGTAAGTTTAATTGATGAATTGGACATCGCAATCATTAATACAATAGCCAAAGCTTTCCTTCCTGGTAGACGATGCCAATCGATCATGTATGATGTTTCACTAACCCTCTTGCACTATGTACAGGAATGATTTATTAATTTATTAAATGTATCAATGTTGAATCATGCCAATGATTTAACATTGATTTATTTCTTTTCAGCCTGAAGAAATTGATTAATTATATTAAATATATTACACATATGTTGCATTAGAAGCAGAAAAAATTTTTGTTTTAATTTTTGGAGATACGAAATCGTACTTGCTCGGCAACAAGTTCACCTATGTAACAAAATACGAAAAGATTGAAGACGAAATTCATAAGCAGAATAATGTATGTTATTGCAAAGCCGCCTTTCCATTCCTGCAATTAAAATTTTCTATTTTCGGAAACATATTTTGCGTACATTATCGATATTCTAATATTATTGCAGAAGAGTGAGTTTTGCCACATATTTTGCGATGTACCTACCATAATTGTGTAATATCCAAGAAAACATATATTAAACGTACATCCTAAAACTTCCACAAGAGATACTTGGTGCAATACTTTTTCTGTTAACTTTATAAAACTGCAAAATAATATACGTGCGGTTGGAAATACAATAATCAATTAATCATAAAATTACAAATAAGAAAACAGTATATAATTTTTATGATCATTTTTGTCCGAGTGATTTTATCAATAAACTTTTTTTGTTTCAAAAAAATGTTATAATCGTAATGATAGTGTTATAGTGAAAAGAAAAGTATGAGATGATTAAAAGTTTAACACGATATTCTTCAAATGTTATTACGAGAAATTAAAAATAAAAATGAAATGATAATTTTGAATATGCAACACACGTAAAAGAAGATAATTGTTATTTTCTGAATAGCGGACTTACTACAAAATTCGCACATGTTCTTGCATAATTATAGCCAGCCGCTCGTCCACGTTATTAGAAAAATCTTCTCTCCCGTCCACTAAATGCACAATCCACTGCATGAGAACCTTCAGACGGCCATAAGCGTGTACTGCCAAAACGGCAGTCAAACTACAGGCAGCAGTCGCGACGGTTTGGGAAATGATACCTGACGCGAATTGAGTCCAAAAGAAAATCTCGTTAATTGGACTGTGACGCGTGTCGGCGATCATTCTTGCGACCGGATACACCAATGGCTGGTACGTCAGATTACTATTTCTCTCTGTAATCTTACCCATGCCAATCGGCATGGCGATGAGATAGAATATAGCACCGCTGTACGTTAAGAAAGCGTTGATCATTACAAGACGACGGCTAAATTCCGCGTTTCTAGTCATAATCACGCGATCACCATGGTACCACGTATTCCTCCAATCGATCTTGATATGCTCGATACATTTACGGATATCTCTCCCATGAAGGGCCAACGAGCTGTACTTCATGATAACCATCAGGCCAAAGGACAACGGTCCGGCGAACTTTAAGATATTATATGTATCTTGGACTTCGAGTACGACGTAGAAGAGGCATGGGATGTAGAGAAAAGCCATTATACCGAGATAAATTACGTTCATTAACACGCGCACATATTTCTTTATCGGAGAAGAGGATTTGTTGAGTGAATTAGGCCAAATGCCAAGTGACTTCAGTAACCAACGGATCTGCTGAATACTTATCTGCGCGTATTTCTCGTGATCATAAACGATCGCTACCAGATTTGATTTCTGAGTAGAGGATGATTTTCGCATCGTTAAAGCACGGAAGCTCGGGTAGTACTGAAAGGACCGAAAGTCGAGGACACGTAGTCACGTTAAGCGCTTGCGCGCTTACCTTCCTAAGAAAAAGCGATCAATCACATCATGAAGTTGAAGGGTGCATTTTATAGTCATATTGACAATGAAGCGTAAGAGAGGATTTTTTTTCTTCCTCTTCCTTGTATGATATATTGGTCACTGTTCCATGAATTACGTGCGTAAAACATATCTTCTTCCACACGTATGTTTTGCGAGAGTAATCGGTAAGGACCATGATTCTCATTCTCCTTTTATAAATTCTTGTTTGGAGTAAAAATATTGCATATGTACAAAATTATATATACATATACATATTAAAAAATATAAATTGAACAACAATAGTTTAGCCAATCTTGTGTCACGAATTGGTGTGTATGGAATGAGCGGTCACTCTCGTTTAGCCGTAGATGTCAACATTTATTGTTTGGTCAGATACACTGAGGATGGCCGAAACGTCTGAATTATAGTAATATGTAATAAATTCAATCATCGCAATAATTACCGCGATTGTACTCTCATTAGCCATTGGTTTCTTTTTATGACATATTTATAAAATTATATAATTACATGAACATATATATACGTATTAAATTAATCAATATATTGAAATAAAATGATACTTTGAAATTCATTAGAAAATTTAATTGTAAATAGTGCGAAAAAAAAGTTATAAAAATAAGACACGAAAGAAATATCACATTTTAGAATAAGTGTCAAAGTTCATGGATATCTTTTTATTTATTAAATTTATATTTATTTCTTATTTTTATTCTTTCTTTAATACCATACTAAATGATTAATTGATTTTATAAAATTACTAGTTCTATATTTTTCATTATATGTTACAAAAATGTAGTTATAATTTGTATATTTTGAATGTCGACATAGTTAATGCACATAACATGTTTAAGTAAGCAATTTATGTGTAAATCACCTATTTAGGAAAATGCATAAATCGTATAATTCGTGAATCAATTTAATAAATGATAATTCACTTACGCTACCAAAAGAACTGATGGACAATTCGATATTGACAACGATAAGTTGAACGGATGAATTTGACACAGCATTTATCAGAATGAGAACAAGATCATTTTTTTCTGCCCCTTATATTTATTATATATCGTTGTGTTTCGCTCAAACGCATTCATCTGTCCTTATCTAACATATTGCAACGCCATTTCATAGAAGATTGAACACCTACTGCTAGACACAATTATTGCTTTGTTTACCAGTCTTCGTGTTCACGTCATTCGCAGATCGATATAAATCTTTCTTTCGAAGTTTTTGATCTTAGTTTCATAAACTCAGTATTGTTTGTGTACATCATGCGCTGCGTAGTGCACTATCGTGTGGTCCATACGAGCTATAAAACTTTTGTATTAAGGAAACACATCTGCGTCAAGTGACAGCTCTGCGAGTTGAAAAAATGTAAGTTTTTAACTTTTTTTCTGATTTTAGTACAAAATATATTGCACCACACCCAAATTTTGCGTCTACTTTAACTCTCCCAGCAAACGAGAAATTATTGAAAAATATTGAAAATTATTCATTGAAGTGATGTCGAATCAAGTTTTTGAATTTTTCAAATTCTTTTCTATCCGTAATTCGCTTGAATCCGTAATTATGTATTGGTAATTTACTTTTGGTATCTTACCCAATATTCAACGCAATGAACTAATTCGTTTGGATTTAACGCGCGGTATTGAAGAATTGTCTAAGATGAGAGACCCACCAAGTGTTAGTCACTTGCGATCTCTGCAAGTGATATCATTGAAAAGCACGCACCGAGGTGATATACATACGTACTTACCTCCCAAACAAAAACTCCGGTGTGATATACAGAGTGTGTAACATTGCGGATCCACGGCGACAAGGTAATTTCTAGACTTTGGCCACAATGCAGGTTATATCCAGGAGTCATATCCTGTTGCCGTGAATCTGTAATGTTGTATACTCTGGATATAGTACTAGGACTCATTCGGGAAGAAATTCATATATCTGTGATTATCTTGGTGCATATTTTCCAACGATAAATCACTTTCTGAAATCGCAGACTACCATTTCATTCCTGAATCTATATATAAATCCACTAGAGTTCACATTATTATACTTATCTAGACGTATAGAAACGGATTCAGTGTATTCAGTCTCTACAAAATTCAATACCTTTTTCACGAATTACGCGGATTCGAAAACTTGATTCATATGGATTTATCCAATCCAATCCATTCTCGTTTACTGGGCTGTAAAAGGATTTTTGATATCGTTCAGTAAATTCGGAAATTTATACCGATCTGCGAAAAAAATATCGACGATTTGACCACTCCACCCCTTAAACACTTGCTATAATGCGTTTTCCTCTAGCGTGCCTCATCATGGGCCTCATCATTCCGTTTCACGCATGATATGCATGATGCATCTTTTATCCTTGTTTAACATTCAGTGAACAACAAGAATAAAAGATGCGTCATGCATATCATGCGTGAAACGGAATGCGCCCATGATGAGGCACGCTAGAGGAAAACGCATTATAGCAAGTGTTTAAGGGGTGGAGTGGCCAAATCGTCGATATTTTTTTCGCAGATCGGTATAAATTTCCGAATTTACTGAACGGTATCAAAAATCCTTTTACAGCCCAGCAAACGAGAATGGATTGGATTGGATAAATCCATATGAATCAAGTTTTCGAATCCGCGTAATTCGTGAAAAAGGTATTGAATTTTGTAGAGACTGAATACACTGAATCCGTTTCTATACGTCTAGATAAGTATAATAATGTGAACTCTTAGATTCAGAAATGAAATGCTAGTCTGCGATCCCAGAAAATGATTTATCGTTGGAAAGTATGCACCAAGATGATCACAGATGTATGAATTGTTTTTTCCCGAACGAGTTCTAGTACTATACACAGAGTATACAACATTACAGATTCACGGCAACAGAATGATCCCGGATATAACTTGCACTGTCGTGGCCAGGGTTATGTCTAGAAATTATCTTATCGCCGTGGATCCGCAAGGTTACACACTTTGCGACCTGTGTATCACACCGGGGTTTTTGTTTGAGAGGCAACGACTTTTGTATATCACCTCGGTGTGTGCTTTTCAATGATATCACTTGCCGAGATCTGTGACTAGCAGTTGATGAGACTCCCATGTTAGACAATTCTTCAGTACCGCATATTAAATTCAAACAAATTAATCGCACATTCATTGCGTTGATCATTGGGTAAGATACCAAAAGTAAATTACCAATACGTAATTACGAATTCAATTGAATTGGTCGTAGGTTTCATTTCTATGCACATTGGGTGAGATACAGAAAGTAAATAACCAATCCATAATTACTTATTCAAGCGTATTACGGATAGAAATCAGATTTAAAAAATTCAAAACTTGATTTTACATCACTTCAATGAATAATTTTCAACATTTTTCAATAATTTCTCGTTTGCTGGGGTTTTAAACGGACATCCTTCTCTTCGAGTAGAATGTACCGTATAGAGAGTATCACAGTGATAGTTATCAAGGAGTGACTCGTTAATTTCAGAGTTTTCGATAAAATTTTCTCGATCATCAAGTTCTAAATCTATTGATTTTAAGATCCAACAATTTAGTTGAGGGCTGCAAATTATTATTTCACCTGTAAACATCTATTTTGGACGGATACAGAAGGAACGCATTGTACTTTATCCGCGGCGAGCCTGTCAATCACTAGTCTTTACTACTGCCCATAGCAAGTCAAATAGTTACGGCAGCACGTGCGAACATATGACTTCCTGAGGGAAAATATGTTGCTGTGTCGGCTGACCGTGCACAATCGATATTTGAAGTATAACTTGTTGCATATAAAGTTCAATATAATGCATAACAAAGATAGGAAATGATTGAATAAGTAGTGTCAGTTATAAGTCACGTTACGTGAAAACATGTTGAATTTTTTATATGTGAAATATAGTTCCTTACATTAGAAGATATACCCTTCGTTCTGCATACTACTACATCGTATGCTTTACTTGAATTTTTGCTTTAAATATCTCTACTAAAAACTTTATTTTATCTGATATAATCTTGAGGAAAAATATAAGTAAAATACAAATAATTGCTTCAAATTAAGATATTAATAGGAAATAATTATTAGGATTATTAATGCATTAAAAATAAAAAAAAATAAGAAGATGAGAGTGATTTTGTTAAGTAAATTTTGGGTAACATTTATGTTTATTATAAATATATAAAATGTGTAAAATATATTATATATTCTGTATATGGGAAATAATTTATTAACGTTTCAAATTATTTTTTATTTTAATAAATTTATTATTTTATTTTAACTATTTTCTTTCCCAAATTATATATTGCTAATTTGATATTATTATTTATTTTGCAACAAACACAATTTATATCAAACATTAGTATTATAATTTAATACCAAGTTTTTAAATAGTTAGTGTACGTAACATATTTAAATAGGCAAATGATGTCTTAATCACCTGTTTAATATACGTTTATGAGTCATACAATTAAGAATTTATTCTATAAAACCTAAAATTAATTTATATAAATACTTACATCACCGAAACTGCTCATAGATAACTCAATGATATTTCCGGTAGTAAGTTTAACTGATGAATTGGACATCACAATCATTAATAGAATAGCCAGAGCTTTCCTTCCTGGTAGACGATGCCAGTCGATCATGTATGATATTTCACTAACCTTCTTGCACTACATACAGAATTGATTTATTAATCCATTAAGGTCCATGCCTAATACAGCTGTGATAGCGCCAAACTGAATACGTGATTCAGAGCATAAACGAAAAAAAATTACCCGTATTTTTTCGTTTTACAAAATTGATTGTTTATACGATGATTGTTTAAATTAATTGTTTAAAAATTCCCATTTTTAATCATTAATTTAAACAATCAAATTTGCAAAACAATTTAATTTTTTTGGCTTATGCTATGAATCACGTATTCAGTTTGGCGCTATCACGGTTGTACTAGGCATGGGGTTAATTTATTGAACGTATCAATGTTAAATCATGCCAATGATTCAATATTGATTTACTTCATTTGAATCTGAAGAAATTGATTAATTTTATTAAATATATTACACATATGTATTTTGCGTTAGCAGGAGAAAAAAATTTTTATTTTTATTTTTGGCGATACGAAATCGTACCTGCTCGGCAACAAGTTCATCTATATAACAAAATACGAAAAGATTGAAGACGAAATTCATAGGCACAGCAATGTATGTTATGTATACTGCAAAGCCGTCTTCCCATTCCTGTAATCAAAATTTTCTTTTTCCGGAAATATATTTTGCGTACATCATCCGTATTCTAATATTATTGCAGAATAGTGAGTTTTGCTATATATTTTGCAAATGTGCCTACCATAATTGTGTAATATCCAAGGAAATATATGTTCAACATACATCCTACAACTTCCACAAGAGATACCTGGTGCAATATTTTTTCTGTTAACTTTATAAAACTGCAAAATAATACAATAATTACAAAATAAATATGTGGTTGAAAATACAATAATCAATTAATCATAAATGCAATTACAAATAAGAAAACAGTATATAATTTTTGTGCGAGTGATTTTATCAATAATTTTTTGTTTTTAAAAACATGTTGTTACAATCGTAATGATAGTGTTACGGCGAAAAAAAAAGCATGAGATGATTAATAGTTTAACACGATATTCTTCAAATTATTACGGGAAATTAAAAATAAAAATGAAATGAGAATTTTTAATATGCAACACATACAGAATAAAATAATTGTTATTTCCTGAATAGCGGACTTACCATAAAATTCGCACATGTTCTTGCACAGTTATGGCCAACCTCTGGTCCACATTATTAGAAAAATCCTCTCTCCCGTCCACTAACCCCTTTCTAAAACCCGTCTGATTCAGTGGAATTAACCCCTTCCTCTTCACCTCCTCCCTCAATCTTTCCGACACGCCGCCGTATATATCTTATATAATGACGGCATTATCGACACCCCCCTATAGTCCCTTTCCTCTTCTCCCTGTCCTTTTTTCCTAACCGGTACTACCACTCCCTCCTTCCATTCCTCTGGCCATTCCCCCCTCTTTCCAACCTCATTACACACTCTCCACACCCATTCCTCCATCCTCTCCCCTCCATATTTCCATACTTCATTCAGAATTCCGTCTACCCCCATTATTTCCATCCTTCAAGTTTCTGGTCACCTTCCTTATCTCCTCCCCAGATAGCACACGAAGTACAACGGATATCCGTTATTGATCCAGAATGTACATACAACATACTGGACATAATATAAATATACATGAATGAATATACATACAAAGGACATACTATAAACATCGATAGTACATCCATATATCGATGTAAATATACATCCATCGGCGGACATTGTATGTATGTCGTATGTACATACGTCCATGGATGTAAATATACATTCATCGGCGGACATTGTATGTATGTCGTACGTACATACGTCCATGTATATCCGTGAATGCGCTTTCCATGTATGTCCGCTGAACACACCTTCATGGATGCAAATATACATTCGTTGGCGGACATTGTATGTATGTCGTATGTACATACGTCCATGTACATCCGCGAATGCGCTTTCCATGTATGTCCGCTGAACATACCTTCATGGATGCAAATATACATTCGTCGGCGGACATTGTATGTATGTCGTATGTACATACGTCCATGTACATCCGCGAATGCGCTTTCCATGTATGTCCGCTGAACATACCTTCATGGATGCAAATATACATTCGTCGGCGGACATTGTATGTATGTCGTATGTACATACGTCCATGTACATCCGCGAATGCGCTTTCCATGTATGTCCGCTGAACATACCTTCATGGATGCAAATATACATTCGTCGGCGGACATTGTATGTATGTCGTATGTACATACGTCCATGTACATCCGCGAATGCGCTTTCCATGTATGTCCGCTGAACATACCTTCATGGATGCAAATATACATTCGTCGGCGGACATTGTATGTATGTCGTATGTACATACGTCCATGTACATCCGCGAATGCGCTTTCCATGTATGTCCGCTGAATGTACCATCACGGGTATGCCATGTATATTCACCGGCGGACAATGTATGTACATTGTATGTACATATTGAAATGTCCATAAATGTGTTTTTATTTAACAAATATCAACGTATGATTTTGTTCCCAACTAATCTTCTTAAGTATTAATAATATGCCAGTAAAGGTACAAAATTAAAAATAGTTACTGTAGAAGTATATGGGCGTTGACAATGATTTGATTACATGCGTGTGATTAGCTCAGAATTAGTATACTAGGCTACCATTTAGGGATCCAGGGTTCGAATCTCAACGGCGATGCGTTTTCCAAATTAATTTGTAATTAATAAAATACATAAGATATATATAGAATACAAATTGAAGACAAATTGAACCAGAAAATTAATAATCACCATTTAAAAATAAAAAAAATTATTTTTTTGCTGTATTCCCATTGTATCTTCAAATTGACTCCATCAGAGGTTTATTTCATATTCATGAATATCCACTGGACATCCATGAAACTTAAATTAATATCCATTGTATCCCCATTGTATCTTCGAATTGATTCTAGTATAGATCCATACGATGTACATAGGATATACATACGTATATCCTATGTACATCGTATGGATATTCGTAATATGCTAGATACATCCATGGGAACATATCCATGGGACATACATAGGATGTGCGGATGTATATTCTATGGACATGAAATGACTCAATGATGGAGACAATTCAATGATACAGTGGATATACAATGGATACTAATTTAATACAAGTCGAAGTCCACTGAATATCCATCATCCTTTCATGTATATCCAATGTATATATAATATCTATTTTTGTGCTATCTGGGTCCCTACTAGCTCCCTCTCCATCCCCTGTCTCTCGCTTTCTTCCCTTACTACTCTCCCTTCCACATCTCCCAACAAATCCTTGAAATATTTCTCCCACTCCCTCATCTCCATTTCCTTATTTATCCCCTTCCATCTCTTCCTTTCCCTGTTTACTATTTCCCACATTTGCCTCTCACTCTTCGCTCCCTCTACTTTCCTTTTCCATCTCTTATTCTCCTTTTTTCTCTTTGTCTCACACATCTCCTTATATTCCCTTTTTTTCTTTCCTGTATTCCTTTCCCCGTAATTGTTTCTGTTAAAAAATACGAATATAATATAAAAAAATAATAGGAATAAATAATCATACTAAACAGTAATACACTGTAATGAAACAAATACAAACAAAGAAGCAAGGAATAGAAATAAAAAAGTAATATAATATAATAAGAAATGTACACTAAAAAACCATTAATAAGAATTGAAGTTGTGCAATGTACAATCATAAATTATATATATTTAATTTAGTAGCAGCAAAATTAAATGAGAATAAATACCTTATAAATGTGTGTCAATATATGTATATAAAAGTCGTCTATTAGATGTACAATCATAAATTATATATATTTAATTTAGTAGCAGCTAAATTAAATGAGAATAAATACCTTATAAATGTGTGTCAATATATGTATATAAAAGTCGTCTATTCTTATTGTTAGACAATGCGATGAGAGTGAAAATAGAGTCATTTCTCTCAGACGTTCAGAGATAATATAAAATCGACATTCTAAGCAAGAAGGTTGATGTGGTAGAAAGGAAGGAAAACATAAGAGGGGAAAAATAAAGTAGAGGGAAGAGAAAATAGGAAGAGGGGAAGTAAAAAGAGAAAAAATGTGTAGTTAAGAAGGAGAGAGAGATTGTATAATCTGTAAGTGAGAGATTCAGTCTCATTTTATTTATTAAGACCTTGTTTCTGTCTTTTGATATGAATCATTTCAGACACTAATCTTTTGTTGTACGAAGATTCGTAATCTAAAATTTTTACTTCGTTTCATCTAAAATTGTAGTCAAAATGATTATGACAGTAGGAAAACCAGTATTTTTCTTAATATCAGAGATATGTTCATGTAATCTTGTACTTAACTTTCTTTTAGTCTGACCAACATAGTTCTCCTCACAATCGTCACAAGAAATCTTATATACTACGTTCTGATTAGATAGGAAATCTAACTTGTATTTTCCTCTCTTAATAAGACTTTTTAATGTGTTAGGGATAGAAAAGGCTAGTTTACAATGAAACATACTGGAAATAGGAAGGAAACTTTTGGAAATAGATTTGACGAAAAGAATCGTAAAATATTTATCTTTAACTTGTACATTACGTGTAATATATTATGTATATAGAACTTTAATCTTTGTTCAATTGTAGAGAAGATAAATGAGAGAGCGTAACAATTATTTAAGAAAATATGAATAGCATCTACCAAATTTTTTTGTTGGAACCATGGATGTGATAAGAGAATAATTTTGTCTATAAAGCTAATAATTGTGCCTTTTTTTGTGGCAGAGAGGATAATTTGAATGGAAATTAAGGAACCTTTCTGAAAATGATAATTGTCAAATACAATTCGCTGATCATCTATGATAAGTATTGCGTCAAGAAAACTCAATCGGCCACTTGTACCAACCTCTACAGTAAATTGTAATCTCGTATGTAAAGAATTGAAAACATTCAAAGCATCATTGATAGTATCAGATATGAGAGTGCAAGAAAGACATCATTAACATATCTAAAAAAAAAACCAATGGTTGTACCGATAATTTATTGATTGCTATTTCTTCTAGATCTTGCATTACAATGTCGGTGATTATCGGTGATAACGATGAACCCATTAGAGTACCAAATACTTGTTTATAAGTTTTATTATTAAAAGCAAAAAAGGTTGAATCTAAAATAAATCTAACTGCAATAATGAATTCGTTTTTAGAAATGTTTGTTTTCGTTAAAATGTAAACCCATCTCCTATTGATGCTATTTAATGTTAGATCAACAAGAATATTAGTAAAAAGAGATACTACATCAAACAAAGCCAATACAAACTGAGATTCAAAACGTGTGCCATTTAATTTATCAATCAAATAGAAACTGACTTTTATATGGCTAGAAGCTTGTGGTATGCTGTCATAAATTATATTGTGTAAGAAGAGAGAAAGATAATATAATGGGTTGCCGTCTTTATGTATTTTAGTCAAACCGTAAGCCCCCCCTCTAAAATTTGTTTGTCAGTAAAATTCGGAGAAGGAAAATTATTATGGAATCTGTTATAAGTATTGAAATAGAATCCATAATAAGTTAATAGATTCCATAATAATTTTTCTTCTTCGAATTTTACTGACAAATAGATTATTATCAGATTTTCAGAAAACTTTATATATTTTTTAATATATCTAAATAGAGAATATTACAAATACTCATATTTTATCATTTACATTCACAGCATTTACACAGTTAAAGTTCGAAGCATATTCAAATATGCGACCGACGTTTTAATTACCTAAAATGTTTAATAATTAATTTTGCATTTAAATAAGTTTTATGCATATTATATGTTTAAACTAAAGTTATGCTATTTTATATTACTTTTTGCGATATCTTTAGCAATAAAAAATACAATAAATATTTAAATTTTATATTAGAAGTTGTATTTATAATTTTCATAATACTTACAACACCGAAAGTCTGGATAGACATATGAAATATTTTTCCAGCCATGATTTTGGTAACAATTCTCGATCGCAAGATTATTAAAATAAGACCAAGAACGATTTTATGCGGCAATTGATACCAGTCTATCATATAAGCTACTTCACCAACTTTTTTACACTATTACAGAATGAATCCATTAATCCAGGTGTGAATAATATTTTAATTGCAGATAAACATATGAGGAAAACTTTTGAAATGGGACACAATTACTTTATGTACCTGATCCGATACGAGTTCGCCAATGAAGCAAAATATGAAGATATTAAACATCATTGCTGTTAACACCATGATATATGTTATTATAGTGTTTATACTCTCTTCATGCCATTCCTGGAAGAATACACAAAGTAATAGCGTTTACAATCAATATAGATATAGTAACGATAGTCAATCTCTGGCAAATATTCACCTTTCTTAAATTTTAAGCATACCGTAATTGTGTAATATCCTAACATGCACAAGTTGAATGTACACCCGATTAATTCCACAAAACATATCTCACTCATAATTGCCTCCAAATGTGAAAGA